CGAACTAGAAGGAACTATAAATCAACAGCGACAAGTTCCGTCAAACGTGAGCAGCGTCGTTCGCTTCCGACCCAGAGCTAATCAAAGACTTATCCATGATCAGAGAGCGCAAGTGTACTGAACATCTTGCATTTGAGTACCTCGGAATCAGGCTCGCTGTGCTTGTCCGACAGGAATCCCTTCGACCTCCTTAAGAAACACTTAATCAACTTTCTGGTCCCGCCACCTGGATAGAACTGCGGACCGTAAAATTGAATGAAACAGGAACATATAAGGTAATAATAACCTAGCAGGTTTTCAGTCCTCAGCCTTCGTCACGAGCACTAACAAGTCATAACAATTACTAATCAACACAAAGGCAATGTTACCATAAGCTTATCTGTTAATAAAAGCTACCCCTAAACCTACAGACAGAGAAGTCTTCTAAGTCAGTGGTTTGAGATACAAAGCGAGTCAGTATTTTGGACAAGAACAACAATGACATTATTCATCCTGCGCAAATAAACAGTGCTGTCTATCAAATTTACATTCATTTTTATATTACCATTTACGCTGGGAAGACATTCAGAGTTCCTAAGGTCTGGCTTGAGGAACACTCTAGAGCTCTCATGAACCATCATGCTAATCAGTGAAGAACAGCAACCCATGTCTTCAATCAGCATCACGCATTTGCGGCATTAAAAATATTACTGCCGATCGAAACAGATATCATGAAATATTTTTTCAGATCAGTGGTAGTCACATTTAAGAGCATCAAAAGACGGCTAGGTAACACAACGAAAAATGGCAGTTTATCAAAAGAATAAACCAATACCAAAGCCTCGACCACAGCGTACGTACCTGTTTCAAGGTCATGTTTTATTGGTTTCTTCAAGTGCAGCTGCTGAGTCAGGAGGTACGTCACCAAACAAGACTCAAAAAAATCCGTACGATAGGGACCGAAATGTCAATAGTTTACCCTCGTGAAACATTTTACGTTCACCCATACCTCCGGAGACCCAAACTCACAGCCTTTTGCACGGTTCCCTTTCTTTTAGTTGCTTTTCTAAGGAATAAAATGATGCAAGAGACACCTACCATTGCAGGTGTTTAAATAGACTGAAAACCTTACAGCATTTTAAAATAAAAACCTTGATCTGTTGATTAAACCGTATAGTTTCTAACACTGAACATTTTTTATATCAAGTGCATTAACTTGAATGAGATCAATGGAGCAAGCTTTAATAGCACGTAAGAAGAAGCTGCTTATTCACCGAAACAGGAATTCTGGGCACACTTCTGCTGAAGTGCATCAAGTTCTTCACCAAAATTTAAGAACAAGCTCGTGATATTACGCAATTTGTAACAATCGATTGTCTTCGTCTTCAATGCCAAACTGTTTTATCAAAAGCATTGGCTCACATCCAACAGTATGTTCGAAAACGACTAATCTCACCAAACTTGGTTTTATCACATTACGATACAGCTTAGGTTCATAGAGGGCTATTAAAATAAACAGATAATAACACGGGTATCTGCACCTGCAGGACACAGACGCATCTCACATCATTATATTGGCAAGAGGCTTTATTACTGACCAGGTACATTGCTCGTCATCAATTATGTTTGCATTAATTCAGTTCTCACAAATCAAAGAAAAGTGCATCAAAACAAGCTGAAAGTTACCATATTTTCGGTCCATGGAGGTCATCCATATAAACTTGCGCAACCATTCGGCAAATCGACCTAGGATACAAATACAAATTAGTGCATACTAGAAGTGAAATCTCTATTTGTGAAGGTAAAGTTTATACTTACACAACAAAACTTTGGTATAACGCGCTTTACTAAACTTCGGATTCAATATACCGTGGGGCTAATCATGTCGCTCAAAACTATTTCGCTAATTTTCTTCAGAAACAACTGCGTTGGAAATTTTACTGCGATGGCTTAACAACTGTGCTACCCTAAACGATCGTGTCGTGGCGGTTGCTCTGCGTAACCCAATACCGCTCTCAAGATTGGCCATGGACGAGACACACTCATGCTTCTCTACACACTGTCGCAGTCGTACTAATCACTCGAGAGAGTGAAAATGTGAGCTTGAGACCACTAAAATATCGGTCGTTTAAAAACGCTGATTAAAGTAAAGTATTACGCATATAAATCAGATTCCGATATCACTGTTTATAGTATCTTGAGTTTAAATTTTTTGCATAGAGCACATACTTAAGCAGTTTTTCGATTACTGCCCAAACATTTCTGAGGTTTCCTTTAATCATAGGTTTTCTATAGCATACCTTTGTCTTCGCATTAATATTATGGAATACATTTTCTCCCACACTGACCCAGCCTCGTGGCATAAGCTTTTACCCCATTATAAATGAATGAAAATCTTCGTGCGGTTTAGGAATGCGTTATGACGCAAGCGAAATCACAAACCAGAAAGAATAAAAATTTTTTGGAGAAAATACATAATCTGCGATTATGCACGTCAAGTAAATCAGCATATTCCTAAAATAGTGAACAAAAATTGTACTCAGTTTGTGAACTGCAAAGATCTTGAAAAATAATCCGCGGGGCTAACAAAAATTATCTATGGGCTTTCTAAGGTTTTCTTTAGAACCCAATTCTACAATACCTGCCTAAGATTTGTCAGGCGAAATTTTGAATCCACTCGACTCTCTTGCACCATCACACTGACCGCAATGATTATGATCAAACTGAAAAATACATTTTTCAAGAGGTCGCCCAGCCTCCATCATAGCTTCTTTAATTTTTTGTATCTAACATCGCCACTGACGAACTCAAAAATACCATCATCTTCGAACAACTACTAAAGCTGCACAAAGTATAAACGGACTAGAATTTTCTACATTTCGAGACCTCCATTACTGCGTAAAATTCAACCCGCAATTTGATTCAGTTTCTAAATTGCTTCGGACAGTCAGTAACGCAAGCAGGGTTGACACGCACCGCTAATTCATTCGACGGAATCCATAATTTTTTAGCATATCCAAAATGCCAGCACAATATCAAAGTAAGTGAAACAAGCATTTAGTTTAATGGTAGTACCCCTTCTCTTTGCTTCGCATGGTTAAAAGGAATACATTAAAATACAGCTCTTACTTTGAAGAACAAAGTGGTTAGGCCTTACGATACTTTATTAACTTCATGTGTACCTAAGCTTATTCTGCAGGAAAAGCATTTGGTACTTGGATATTCCAGAGTTTGGTTCTTCACACCAAATCTATCGCTGGGTGAAGTTCTGAATCTCCATTTGCGTATGAGGTATACACGTTCACATCTGCTGCATTGTTCCTACACGAGGCCAACCAAAAAATCAATCGTGTCTTCAGCAGCTAATCGAGACCATGCTGAAGGGCAAAGAATTGTAAGCAAGATGCTCGTAGGCGACCGTCACTGTACTCAGTGGATGTCGACAGCTGTCGACGGTGAAGCTAATTTTCTGATTTACAGAAATATTTTTGTAAGGTTATTTTAATATTATCCGTGAAAACTGATAGTCTCCTTCGTGACAGAAGAGAAAACTTCAAGGGATGAGAGTCATTTTTAATTTCCAGGTGATTAGCGATCCGCCGCCAAAGACGCAGAGGATGGAAAGTGAACAGAATAGAAAACGTTACGGTGTTTGGCTAATCTTTACCGTTCAATTTGCGGCGTTTATCCCGTTGACGTGAATGCATTCTGCAACACTGAGGTGCAATATTCTACCGATGAAAAATGAAAATTGGCATTTAGACAATCAAAGAAATTTCAGACAATTATGAAAACATTCAGACTTTCGGCACACTA